CTGGTTTATTGGACCATGCAATTGTAAAGTTTTGAAACTCTATTATCTCCGCTGAATAGAGTTTGCAGTGCCTTGTCATGCAAATAGCTTGCTTGCAAGCAACGTTTGGAATTTTTACGAACATTATTTTTAGTTTTTAATTCTTTTAGGAAATAGTCTTGCCTAGATTTAATCTTTACATCCCAAATATTATTTACATCGGAGTTGCATCATAAATTGTACTCGGATTCAAACAACACAATGTCAATGATTTTATAAAAGTAAAAGCATATTGTGTATTGGCCTATTGGGTTTACACTTTTACAGGTTCATTTAACTTTAACTCTCTCAAGTCTCGACAGACAATTGGACAGGCCAAATCCATTGATATGACAACTTCAAAAAACGTTTTTTCAAATCTAGAAATCAATTTTTTTCAGGGATACTTTGTTTTTTGCTCTCTAGACTCCCATTCGCGGCTCTAGTGCTCCACCCCTAGAATATAGACCCTACTGGGGTTTGGTGACACTTTGTGTTGCTTCAGTCACCTGACCCTACTGGGGTTTGGTGACACTTTGTGTTGCTTCAGTCACCTGCTCGCGGCTCACCCCCCTAAAATTTCTGGCACCACCCCAGTAAAAAACATGAAAATCCGTCTATGTTCGGGGTGGGGGGTGGCTTATAGTTGTAAGTCGGAGGTTTACGGTACCAGTACATTACAACTCTTTATATCAGAAAGGGAACTTGTAGTGACTAGCATGGTATACCTGAAACACTGCAACAGCTGCATGTGTACAAAACAGTATGAAGTTTAAAATTACAGATACATGGACTATGTGCACTTGCAGTGAAATGTCTTTAATATGGAAATATGCAAAAGTACCAGAGGCGAAAAACTCAGTGTTTACAAATACTCAAATTGATAAATTCTTCCTTGAAAATTCAAACAGAGTGCTTTACAATTTTGCATGTACATATATTAATGAGTTGTGAACAGGCAGGCCATCATTCAAAGGATGAAAGCAGTCACTTTCAATCAGTTTTATATTAATATTATTATAGATGACGGGTTTGAACTTTGAATGCTCAGTGCTCACTCCTGAGTCAGATACATCTGCACATTTTATGTAATAATAATTCAAATAACAGTTATTAAATACGACATTACACTTACCATGTCATCTGTCTTTATATTTGGCAATGTTTTGGCTCGTAACATAGACAAAAATTCAGTAAAATTCTGTTATTTGTCTTCGCAAATTTTGGGAAACTTTTAAAACCAAGATGGGCGGCGCATTATTTTTTCGCGAAGGCCTGGCCGCTAAGCTTTGATTGCTTTTCGGAAAAAATACGCGACTTTTTAAAAAATCTCCTCTTAACTATAAAGTATTGTGGAAATGATGTTTTTTGTTTTCTACCATGGTATTTAAATATTGTACTATTGGAAGGTTTCTGTTGCTGTTAGACAAGTACAAGTACCTTCCCTTTTAGCAGTTTCCTAATTATTCAGGAAATTGTCCAGTTGTAGCCATGCAGAGTAATATACTAAAGTAAGTCATAACCCCTAACTTGATAGAAACAAGGAACGGTTAAAATGAAAGTGCTAAACTAAAAACTATTAACAGATATCTTAATTACCTTAATGCTAGGTATTGTTGTCTTGGCCACCTTTCATGGCTTGTGATTTCATAACCTAGTAAAGAGACTCGACAATTAGCCTTTTAATACACACACAATTAAATTTGCACACAAAACTCTAAGAATGCCATTTTAGAGAATCAAAGTTTCAAAAATTTTCTTGGCACCAACCATGGTGGCAATCACCATGACAATCACGCACCTCCCTTAAGTTTAGCAGGGTTTCTACAAAACACTACAGGAGGTAGGCAACCTTCGAGATAAGCCCATTTTGAGTTTAGCCCCAACCACACCCAAACCACACCCAAACCACAACCATTTTTATCAAAGGCTTAACTTGAAGAAAGAAACACAACTTGGAACGTTCGCGTTAAGCCCCATGAACAAAGAGGGGCTTAGCTTGAAGTCATTGAAAATATTTGACGTTCAAGTTAAACCCCGACATTGGAGGCAAAGAGGAATGATATGAGTTGCCCACAATCTAGCTGGAGATAGTTATCATACTTCTCAGCTTAAATTGCCTTAAATAAATTGCATTCTAAATGAGTCACAAACAAATCATATAGACAGTCAACATACTTAAGGGAGCTTGTTTCAATGTTGGCTGTCAGGATTACAGGAACCACAAAAATATGAGCACAGATTCGGTATGTTTTTGTGTTCTTTCAACGCAGGGGTGGATCATCAATTTTTGTGTGGGACCTGAATGGTGGGCCATCGATAATTATGCCTAACTCAGGGCTAGGGAGTTGATCTTAAAAATTCATGTCTATTAATAATACAGTATTTCAATTTTACAGACCCCCCACCCGTGCACTTTATGATCGGTCCCTTGCTCACGTATAGAGAAGTCTAAGAAAAACAGTAATTTTACAGTAATATCTAGCACCAAACATTACTGTATATAAAAAGTTTCTAAATCTTTTATACTGCAAAGTTAATAAAATACAAAACACAAAAATACCGGAAAAAGTTTTGAAAACTTTCAGTATCAGTCAAACGAAGTTCTTGTACCAGATTTTCAGTGAAACCTTGCACTTGTCATCGCTCTTCTCTCGCCCATGACAGAGTCCACCATCTTCTTTTCCTTTTTTTACGCTTTTTTACAACCTCATATGTAATTTAATTCCTAACAATACCACATATTATTCTTTGTAAGACAAACCATTTTTTGTTTCCCACCGTATTTGTAAAAGGTATGCTCAGTGTCCGCACCTTGTTTTTATGTGCAAGATACCGCTGTTCATAGATAATTTTTAAACAGGAATCAAGTGCATCAACAATTATTTGTTGTCCCATTTACACGACCAAATACATTTGTCACATAAAAATTGCTCATGTAAACAGGGCTTTACACTTTGCCCTCTAGTTTTAACCGCCAATTTACTTGCTATATTTGTACTTGTTGGCAAATATTCCAAAAAAATTGACACTTTTTCATCATCATCATTGAATTATTCACAAATGTCTTCGGCAATCTTATGAAGTGACAATTTATTATCCTCATCTTTCAGTATGTCCACCGGTATGCAACTAAAAACAACATATTCTGGTGAAACTTTTTGCAAATTCTGATACAAACATGAAACTGACTCATCTGTAATTTTTTGGTAAGCTGGGAGAATTGGATTGAATTTATGCAGCTTTTTTCATCTAATTTCTTCTTTGCTGGTTTCATCATCCTTTTCTTTGGATCTCAGTTTTCTTTCCTGATATTAATGGCTTTTATCATTTTAGATGCAATCTCTCTATTTGTTGACTGATTCCAGGCACAAGGCATTGATGTGCATGCAGGGTCTAAATAGCTTTTTCTCATACTTTGTACATAACTGCAATCGCAAGATTGGCTTGTTCCAGTCATACAACTACACCAGCATGTCAAAATTTGGACCAGTTTTTTCTCAACTAAAATCCACCAAGTGTGGCTGGCAGATGCAGTCAGTGAACTCCTAACACTTCCATATAACACTTTCTCTGGGGGCTCATATGTGAATATATGGTGCTAACAAAACCAGAATCCCAATACGAGTATGCCTTCTGGTCTTTATAACAACCCACATACTCTACACCGAAGTCCCTGACTTTTAAAATATATGCAAAAATGGAACTGCAATCAAGTTTGGGCCATTTAGTAATATCAGTTCTTTTGGACTCTTCTATACTCAATGGATCACATATGTTAAATTTGTTTAACCTATTTTCGTATTCTTTATTTATCTTGGCCTGTTGTTCTTCCTGTATGATCGGTAAACTTAGCTCAACTGCACTGAATGCCCACACAACCAACTCAACTTTTCTCCCCAAAGTTTTCAAAGCACCAACAGCAAGAAAATCAACCAAATTATTCAACCCCAAGGCCATGAAATCTTCTAGTTTACGGAGTGATCCAGATTTTGATGTTGATGCCACCATTTTCAATTTTTAATTACCCCCACTTACAAGACGGCGTCGCGAACCCGGAAAAGGCATATTGAGAGTAATTTCAAACCTGTTCAGTTTTCATACACCCTGTAGAATACTATATGAATGGTAATCAAACAAGACGATCAATAGCATTACCATTTCTGGATTTTTGATGGCTTTATTCAATATTGTATTATAAACAATATTTATTCAATATGGCTTCTTGTTTAGACATAATACTACTGATAATAAAAATGTACAAGTCTTACCCACTAAGATGTAACATTAAAACAGACTATTTATTGAAATTTTTTATAAGAGAACATTTCCAAGATTAAGGTTTCATGTACATAACTAAACATATGTTGCTTATATAATAATATGTTAACACCAGTTTATTTTTGGTAACAAAATATCAATGTTCAAATTGTAAAAACACACTTGCATTTAACACTGCATGCTCTGTCTTTTTTCTGTTAATTTGGAAGACAGACAACAAAATTAGACAGCTTCAGAGTTTGAAGTATGTTTTGTCCTCGTTGACACAGCAAAGTGATGTACTCATTGAAGAAATGCTTCCAATATTTTGGTGCTGAATAGAAGCATAAGGGGGTATGTATGCATTTAAAGCTGATGGTGTAGTGGAACTAGTAACATGCAGGGGTGGATTCAGTATCTCAATCTAACCCTAGCATTTTGGATGAAATACACATGCATGGCCGAAGGCCACGCCCTTCCTAGGGGGTGTGGGGGCGGGCCCCCCAGCGTGCAAATACCATTTTCCTGCATTCTGAGCATCGAAAATAGATTTTAAATTTGTGGAAAAAGTGCCTCTTTCACACCAAAATAAGAAAAAAATGCAGAAAAGTTACAAAATTTATTCATCAACAACCACTTCGAACAACAGATTATCTTGAAAAAGCAATATGACTGTAGTTAGAAAGTCTTCAAATGTACATCATCTTGAAACAGTGGCCCAATATAACAGAGAAATCTTTATCTGGCTAAGCAGCAGCATAAATCATGCGGAAAAAGGAAGGACAACTTATGGAAAAATATTCTCTGTACTGTAGATTACCTTGAAGTTAGGAAAAAGGTTTATTTGTATATCATCTTGAAAGTGATGTGAAAAGTGATGTGGTCTATGACATTGGGGCTTTTGACTTGTCATAATTCAGAAGAATCCCACATATGTCTTTTAATGGAGTATGCTTTGTTTCTACATACTGCATGCATGCTATCACCATGATTTAGGAATTCTTCATCATTCAATTTTTGCTTTTGACTTGTCATATTAATTCAGAAGTGTTTGGACGTCTGGTGCAGTAGATGGAATAATAGTACACTCACAGTATTCTTTTTCTTTGTGCCATCTATCTTTATGTTGCTTTACACTGTATGAATCACTTCTGCACAAAGATGCAATTTTTTCTTCCCTTTTGCCAAATGAACAGTTCAAGGCATTCAATACACACACTTTTTTGATGACTTTTCAATCTTATTTGTCGGTCTGAGATTTTGTCTTTTCTGTGGAATGGGAACTCCCCTTTTCCAGCCCCAAGATAAATGACGTTTCGATGTTGTCACCACGTTATTTTCTTTTTTGGCTCTTTCCTGCTTTTTGGTTAATAGTCAAAATATGTCTGACGAACAAGGGTGGGTTCACTACAAAATTTTTGTAGTTTGCTAAAACTACAGCTACTTAAAAAAATATGTAGTCAGCGCTACAACTACTGCTATTTTTTAACAATGGTAGTTTGCTACTGACTACAGATACTGCTTAAAAAATGTAGCAAACTATTTTGCTATGCTATATTTTTTAGTTTTACTGTATTTGGAGCACGTACTAACTCAGGTTGTAATGTAACCTATAACAAATTGACTTATGAGTAGCAACACTAAACACAAAGCAACATTTTTGTAAGTACTACAGTGTTCAGGAGTGCAAATTGAATATTGAGGATTGAGCAAAGCGTGTCTCAATGTCATGATACTCTATCAAGTTGCTAACAATTTTAAAAAGTAGCGATTCGCTCTTTGAAAAGTAGTCAACTACAATGGGTGTTCTTTTCAGGTAATAATCTTGGAACGAATGTTATTGTGATTATTTCGCTACATGATTGCAGTACAATATATTTACTAGCAACTGTATAATAATTTAATTCAATGTTAAATATATGGTATAATTACCATCACAAACAAATCGGATATTTTCTTGCATATTATACATACTGGAGGCAAAACATTTGGTGATCGAGCCTTCATGTCACTCTTATGGCGACCATCATTGGCATAAAAGTTTCATTGGTGCAGCAGTCTCTGCAACTTTGCAGCCACTTAAGTTTTCACTGCCTGATGTTCTTGTTTCCTCTGCTTTTTCAAATGTGTGAAGTATTTAATTTTAAATTCAAAATGGTGGACAGAGACAAAAAACTTAGCTCCTCTAATTTAAAGATATATGGCTTGAAGAATGCTGATATATGTTTAATCAAATTTCTAAATGATAAAACACACCTAATATACAATGGCGTGCATTTGAAATGAACGCAAGATTTTTGCTCATTGAAAAATTTTATCGAGAATGTTGTTGGCTTAAAAGGATTATGGAAATCACCAGGTGGGAAATCTAAACCGTTTACAAGTACAAACTTTGATTTAAATATAACATGCTATCCGTGCAAACAGCAAAGATGGTGAATTGCTCAAATAATTACTGACAAGTGTCTTAAATAACGATTCTACATATAGTTATAAGATAAACAACGGCTCTCATGCTGCAATTGCACAACCGGCCATGTCCTCAATGGGGGGGGGGGGCAAAATCACCTAACAGTCCCGCTTGAGAGTGTTATTGAAAAAAGGTTCAAATGCTTGGTGAACAATTTGATCGACACTGAGGGCTCAACAAATGTATCAACTATGCCTGAAGAAATAAATGCAAGTGGAACTTCTACTCCATTTCAATAACAAGATACTTCAGACTCCTTTGAATTACAATTCTTTTCATTTAAAACGAAAACCGAATCTCAAATATTAGATTTGTTGGGCAAGATGTCTGACCAAAACCAGGTCATTGATGCATGTAAACAAGACCTATGCAAATTAAGGAGCAAAAATTTAAATTTAATATCACAAATTTCCTTTTTGGGGAAAAAATTATCCATTGTTAAACACTCTGAGTATGATTTTAATGAACAACAGAGTAACAATATAAAGCACCAAACTGGTAAACCAACTAGTCCACCGAAGCATATTGTTAGATATACTAGATGTCAAGCTGATAAATCTCCTCTCTCCTCCACACAGCCTTCTTAAGTATTTACAAATAACTAACAAGAAGTTTCCAGAATAAAAGTGAGTGTGCATGGTGTGATGGGAAGATATTAATGAAATCGAGGAGGCTCTGCCCAATAATGTGACAAAGCATGGTTTTTAGCTGTTTGACCTTTTTTAAACTTGAAATTGACGGAAATGTGAAAAATTGAAATGAATCTTCATAATCTGAGAATCGAAGTTCAATAGAGTCATTTTTATAAAGAAATGTTGCAATTAGAGGATATTTATAATTAGATAGCTTGTAGCCATTGATATTCGTTTTGCAATTTCTCAGTATTTTTTTATGCAAATAGACAGAAGATATTGAATTCACCCCGGGATACTCCAGTATGCCTGAAAATGAAAGTCAAAAACATGTTTTAACACCCTCGATGCTTGATCAAACAGAACTCCAAAAGATTATATATGACGCCATGTTGATTGCATTAACTAGCAGAGGCTCAATTATTTAGCTCTTCCCATCACTCCTTGCTCGCTCACTTTTTCCTCACCAGAAACTTCATGTAAGCCTCTGCGGAGGAGAGAGATAAATCTCCAAATCAGGATGTTATTCCTAAAAGGGATATTTCTCAACCTGAGTTGTTATTTGCTTCCTCAACTTCGAAACCTGTGTATAGCCCATCAATTTACTGAGGATATTAGCCCAGCACTGTCTCCTAATAGTGCCAAACAGAAGTTCTCTCAGTCTGATGACTCAATCAAAGTGTCTAATGTGAGGTTAGTGTGTGACCGTCAACAGTGGCAGAAATTTCGAGGAGGCGGGGAGCAGCCTTGCGGAGGTGGGGAGGGGCGGCCTAAAAACAGGCTTTTCGAGTGCAGATGGGGGGGGGGTTGTCAGAAATTTAAAAGTTTTGTCGGAAATTTAGAAGGCTTCGCCCCCACCCGGAAAAAGTGAATTTCCGCCACTTGCCGTCAATTTTAATCGGCATCAAAATTATTATCCGAGACGTCTGCAAAAGACACTGTCCAAATGAATTTTGGAACTAATAACCTAACCAATCTGTTTAATTTGAAGCCTGAAAGTGTCCATGCTAATCGTCAATGTTCTGAATCATTCAACATATTAAATACAGAGCCAGAGGAGAAATCATGACCAAATAGTATCTCAGTTGACGAAGAAATGAAAATACCAGTTTGAATTACCTCACACACCTGTGATCTGAAAGTGAAGAAGAGACAAGTTGCTCATTTGAATTTGATTGAAATACCCATGAACAAAAAATCTTTACAAAATCCTGCCCCAGTTAGAATCACCCAGCTACAAAATTTTTGAGGGATATATGTAATAAAATGGATGACTTGGATTTGGTTCAAAAAATGAATGACATAGAACTCCCTGGAATAACAGAGATTTCGTTAAATTCAAGTATTCCTGATGGCTGTGTAAACATTCAGGGCTATCACTTAGTTCGAAATTATCACAATGAGAAAAGGGGTGGCAGGGTTGTTAAGAATTCAATTCCTTTTGTGATGCTTTCAAATTTTGGCTGTTCTAACCATGAGTGTTTGTGGATAAATTTAGACCTTACTGACTTCCAAGAGAAATTTAATGTATTATTGTTTGTGTGTTCCACAACCCACCTCTTGCAGATAATAATGAACTATGCAAGTACATTATTGTCTCTATGGACAAAATCTTATTACAACTCCCTGGAGCAGGAGACATCATTATGGGTGACTTTAACCAGTTTGACACTAAACGTCTTTGGGTTTAGAAAGCGAAATCCATCAAAATGAGTTGGAGTGAATTCTCAAAATTGAGGTTTATGTCTCAAACAGCTTTCAAGTTATGCAGGTTTATCTCCATTGCTATTTTATGCAGATATTGTGAATATTTTAATGTCAGTGGCAATCTACAAAGGTCTATCTGCATAATTTAGCATAAATTCAAAGTCACAAGGTCTATCACATTAATTTCAAGATGGCTGCCAGAAAGCATGTTCGATTAAAAACTTTAAAGGAGAATGAAATCAGTGAGTTATTGGAAAGGTAAGCAGCATTTTTCATTGTTATTGAGAAGACATTTATTATGAGAGGTTGTATACGCTAAAATTGGACTGAACAAAAAAATGAAAATTAGTATCTACACTAACTTTAGCATTTTCATATTTTTGTATTTAAAATTGGACTTGTATTTCTCACATCGGTTAAGAAGAAAATAGGAATTTGATTGCCTTGTATACTTAGATGTGTTACCTGAATAACAATAATAATAAGAAATTGATCCCAGTATCACGATGAAATTGTAGCAAATTATGCAGAGGATAGGATAGGCTGATAGCAGTGATTTTGATGAAAATGGCTCTGGTGTTGAGGATAATTATGATCCAAGAGGAGAATTGTTTGATGATGAATCAAGTTCAAATGATAGTATTTGGATTACTGGATAATTGTTTCCAACAACGAGCAAGTGGTCTAGTGGTAGCGATATCGGACTTTAAAAGCCAATGTCGTGTATCAGGATCGGTTCGAAGATGAGTGAAAGAATAAAGAAAAAAGATGGCGAACGAATGAAGAATGTAAAAGAAAATGGTGACAGGTGAAATGTTTGGAGAAGAAAATACCAATGAAATTCATATTTGGTAGTTTCCATGGTTGGCGCATGCGCGGTATACTTAGAATATGACAGCGTTGCAGTGGGAAGCGGCAGGAGAATAAATGTAGATATTTGGAGTGATGATAGTATTCAGTTTAATGCTATTTGAATTGCATGAATTATAAATATTTTGACAATGCTTCCCATTGTCCATGCAACAAGCGACTATTGAGGGTTGGTGGGGCAAGTGATCAATATTGATTGTAAATGTGTTCCCAGTAGCACAGAATTAAGATCAGTAACAGAAGGGCCACTCAGCGGTGCAACGTGTCCACGTTTTTTTTTTATGCAAAAATATGCAGTTTACTGGCTAGAAGGCGGAGCAGCCAGGCAGGACAGCATGTTTATTGGCCAGAAAATGTCATTGACTGGCTAGGAAAATGGCGGCCAACATGCGTAATGCGACATACACGAGGACAGAAACTTCAAAGCTTCCGATGTAAGTGGCCCTTCTATATGGATCTTTATCCTATGCCAGTAGTGGGCTATGTCATAATTCTTACTTCGGTTGGCCAAAGGAGGTTCACAAGGATAAATTTCCTCTGTATATATGCTTAGTTTATTTAAAAAAAATGCTTTTCACATATTTGTAATTGTTTACATTCGGTTACAAAAAACGATTACAATTCAAAAATTGCGATTATTTGTCATTGTAGAAGGAGGTTAATTTTTCAGTCTACTCAATTTCTCATTTTCCCAGTCCGCAGTTGGGTGATACAATACAGATGTGTTATTAATGCATTACAAAAACTCTTTGTCAAAGTGCACCTTTAATACGGAATGCATACACTGACAGTGTTGGGACACTCTCTCAACCAGTCAAATTTACTTGAAGTAGCCGGCTCTGTCATTGCTAGAACTGGTGAAGGTCTTAGACCTTGTTCACATGAACCCGGGACAGCTTTATGTCCCGGGGCAAGCTATTGTCGCGGGACAAAAATTGTCTCGGCTCGTTAATAAAAGAATAGTGCTGTTCACATGATATTTTACTTGTCCCGGGACAAGAATCGACCCGAGTGACTCGCCTTTGTCGACAGGGACACTTGCCAAGCCGGGATAACTTTTTCTCATGTGAACATACAAAGTTTGTACCTCGGGACAAAATTCACATATTTTCAAGATGGCGTCCAAACAACCTCGTGGTGGCAACAAGACCAAAAAGTGGAAATGGACAAATGACATGGTAAAATACCTTTTAACGTTTATTAACTCATTCCCATCCGGTCGAAAAGTAGCAATTTCGAGTGGTGGTGTTTCAAACGCTTATATGTCTCAAACTATACATCGCACAGAAACAGAAATTGCATCGTTCGAAAGAGGAGGACTTCTGCTTTCCAACAATACCAATTTCAATTTCATCCGGAGCTTGGTTAACGATTTACTTGCATAAATGTGCATAAATTATGATATAAAAAAATGTTGCAATTATGCATAAATGTATTTAGTGGTTCAAATTTCAAATATGTCAAAAAATTTTGTGAATATGACTGAAAGACACGGTTATGATCTACAAGTACCCGAAGTTTCATGCATGTAGCATAAATAGAAATATTTTTATTGAATTTTTATATAAACTAGGTAGTGGAGTAAAATTTACATTTTGTGCTCACATGAAACAAATACCTTTATCAAAGGTCCTTTTTTATTGCTACAACATGTTATCAATACAAATTTCCAATATTTCTTACTCTCCAAAGATAGTATGGCACCAAAATAAGTCTGTGATACCCACAAAAGAACACTCAAATCATGATTAGCAAAATGTCTTTATTTCTACAATTACTACATACATTCTTAGATAATCATCACACCATTGACTTTAGTTATTAGTGGCATAACCAGCCTCAAAATTTGGTCATGCTATTCAAATTTGAAATAATCACTACTCATTTGTTTAGAAATTGATTGTTTTCACAATCTAGAACATGAAAATATTTGCAAATAGCATGACCAAGTTGTTGTTGGGCTGGCATCATCATAATTAGTAGTTATAAAAAAGTAGTTGTCAAATTCAGTATGAAACGATTATTTCAACACAAAAAAGCGATATGAGGACATACTTGGTCGTACTAGTGAAGCTATACTAAATACAAATAAATTTACAATGCCATGGCAACGGCAAAACATATTGAAATAGAAATTGTCTAGAAATGATACAAATACTTGCCTTGAAACTCCAGACACGACTCCCAATGCCAGGTTGAGATAATTGTCTTCAGACGAAGACATTCCATCATTACTAGCACTATCAGTTTGCAAAATAGGCTTAGATTATTTTGCAATTTCCCGAGACTGCTCTGAGCTATAGAATGGAAGATGGCGATTCTTTTGGTATATTTGTTATTATTATACGTTGAAAAGAAGCAAAAAGACGAGCATTTGAATCAGGCGGAACATTCAAAATGCAACAGCAAAATTGATGTGTCATTTGCATAAATTTCACCGCATTGATCATTTCAAGGTAAGAAATTCGCTTGAAATTGAGCGAAAAAAACAATAAAATTATATGAATATTTCTGAATATATAGTATCGATCAAGCGGAATTTTTTGGTGGTATTTTCGTATGTCTACTGCAAATACTCGAATTTCTTTAATATTTAATCTTCTCGTCATATACGTCGGAAATTAATATTGGCGGATTGAATTGAATTAAAGAATATGAGTCGAAGAAAGGCTATAGCCAATGGTTGCACAACTCAAGAGATCAATGGAGAAAATATAAGCACTGGTTTTGTGGAGACTGATGATGAGGAAACATTTATGAACAATCTCTTCGAGAAAGAGGATGATGCCAACTCACAGGTTAAGCAGCCAGAATTACAAGATGTAGAGAACAACAGTGAATCGGAGGAGAGTGACACCACACTAGATTCTAGAAAGAGAATTGTTCCAGTCAACTCCACTCCAAAGTTTGTCGAGAACAAAAGAAAGAAGTTAAAGAAGCAGTTGTCGGCAAAGCAAAGAGATATGGTTCTTATGAATGCAGCAAAGAAAGAAATTGATTTGAAAACTAGTATTCCCCATGGGTTGCTGGAGTCAAATAAAGGTATTAACAGTGCAATGAGTGAAATGGCAGACTCCATTCGTTCCCTAGGAACTGGACTAGTTCAGGGATTTGGATTACTTGCCCAGGCATTATCTCAAAACCAACAACAACAACATCACCCAGCCTTTGGGAACTTTGGTGTGAATTATCAACCATTAGCAGGGTTCCCCAATACCCAGTACCACAGTCAACATATAAATCACCAATGGGTTGCTACTCAGTCTCAGCAATCTGAATCAGGTGGTACAGATAAGGGCTATGTCACTTTGGAGTGACTGATTGACTATTATGACATTGTATAATATTAGTATATATACACATATATGTTAATGTTGTGTTGACATACCAGTAGGTATATCAGTCATTTGTTTTATTTATATTTAGCTTAAAGCATGCATAAATTAGAGCACAGACAGTTCCTCAAATGTTGATTTTTTATTGTTGATATTAACCCATTCATTTCCCTAAATGGTTCAAACTACCCAACTAATTATGATCTGCCTGATTATACATACATGGAGAATATTTTGGGAAAAATGGGTTGGTAACTACTTACTACTATATTAAAGAGAACTGGTTCATTGTTCTTTATTACATTTGTGTTAAAAAACATGTTATTATAACTCAACAAATTGTACAAGTGTCTCTTGTTAATCTATTTACAGGCAACAATTTTATTCCATATATTCTTTCAGATATATAGTTATAATCTGCCTTATGTAGGTTCCCTGAGCACTGTTGTAACTATAAAGTTGATCAATAACAGAATGATGGTGACAGTTTTGCATGAGTTGTTCCCTTTGAATTTGGCTCTGAACAACATCATCATTTATAGTGTTATTATTACTTCTCATTTCACAGTAGTTGTACAAAACAAGCATAAATAACAGTTGGAAGGTCATCCAGCTTGATGTCCATTGGTCGTGTAAGAATCCTCCATCTAGCTTTCAGACAACCAAATGCACACTCAATTTGGTTTCTAGCAGATCTTAGCATTTCATTGAAAATCACATGTTCATTTTCAGTGCAACATGCATGCTCCTTCATTACATTGGGCAAAAGTGGGTATGCAGGGTCACCCAAGACAACTGGAGGAACTTTATCATCACCAGGCAAAAGTTCTTTCAATGCCATTGGAATTTGCTTATTTTGAAACATTTTGTTGATGTCAGAATTTGCAAAAACTCTAGCATCATGAACACTTCCTGGCCATTTAATTTCCACATTTAGAAAACGTCCTTTATGATCACATATAGCTTGACAGTTCAAGGTGTATTTCATTTTGTAACAAAAGTAATCATGAGGATTTTCTGTTGGCTGTTTAATAGGTATGTGGGTTCTGTCAACACAGCCGAATACCTGAGGTAACCCAAACTTTTTATGGAAATTATTAATCAAAATTTCACTTTTGGGTAAATTCAAATACCTTGGGCCAACTCTCTGGTGTATTGCTTTGCAAACTTGTTTTACCACAGTTGATAATGTTGACTTGCCGACCCCAAAAGCATTGCAAGTCATCAGGTAAGACCCTTGATCCTTAAGGTAATAAAGTGTCAGTGCAACTTTTTTCTCAGGTGACAAAGCTTCCCTAACTGCATTCAGATCAGGTTCAATGTCCATTCTCAAGTGATCTACCAAATCTAGAAAGTCCATTCTAGTCATTCTTAAGTTTTTTTTCCATTCCTCAAGTGTTTCTCCGTTTATTAAGTTTTCCCACCATAAAGACGTTCTTCCAGGGTTTATCCAGTGTTTTCTTCGCTCAGGAAGCTTTCGCCTGGTTGCATGGAGCCTTTCTGTTGAACGATTTGCATCAAGGATTGTGGAAATAGCTTTTTGCTCATTCTGCCTCCTTTTTTGATCCAGAAACAGTAGCAAATGAATGTTTAGCTGCAGGAGAGCTATAATTGTACTCAAATTTGTTAAAATAGCACAAAGTAAAACAATATGTGTCGTTTTTGGAGGCATAATCCGTGAATATTTACATTTTCCTGTTTACCGCCAAACTTATTTAATTCCCGCCATAATTCAAATAACTTGTCCCGGTGTCACGGTCTCAGCACTCCCCCAGTCTGAGTTATCCGTTTTGATTATCTGCGCATGCATGAAAACAGCGGACCGCTGAGCAAGTAGCTAGCTGTCCTGAACGCTCCCCCAGTCTGAGTTATCCCCATTTATATTTTTGCTTTTTATCTTTGCTTATTTACAAAAAAGACTTTAAAATTACTTTCATGAAGGCACATTATTCTTATGGTAAGGAAAGGCTGTTAAATATCGTATTATTTTTTATAAATATGATCACCTTTGTGTATTTTTTGAAAGAGATAACTCAGACTGAGGAGTATTGAGACTGTTCTGAATGTTAAACAGTCTGGGGTATCTCCTGATATAATTTTTTAAAAGAGATAACTCAGACTGGGGAGTATTGAGATTGGTCTGAATGTTAAACAGTCTGGGGTATCTCCTGATATAATTTTTTAAAAGAGATAACTCAGACTGGGGAGTATCAAGACTGGTCTGAATGCTCCCCAGTCTGGTGTATCTCCTGATATAATTTTTTTTGAAGAGAGAACTCAGACTGGGGAGTATCGAGATTGATCTGAATGCTCCCCAGTCTGGTGTATCTCCTGATATAATTTTGTTGAAGAGATAACTCAGACTGAGGAGTATCGAGACTGTTCTGAATGCTCCCCAGTCTGGGGTATCTCCTGATATAATTTTTTTTGAAGAGATAACTCAGACTGGGGAGTATCGAGATTGGTCTGAATGCTCCCAGTCTGGGGTATCGACTCCTGATATAATTTTGTTGAAGAGATAGTATCGAGACTGGTCTGAATGCTCCCCAGTCTGGGGTATCTCCTGATATATTTTTTTAAAAGAGATAACTCAGACTGGGGAGTATTGAGACTAGTCTGAATGCTCCCCAGTCTGGGGTATCTCCTGATATAATTTTTTAAAAGAGATAACTCAGACTGGGGAGTATCGAGATTGGTCTGAATGCTCCCCAGTCTGGGGTATCTCCTGATATAATTTTGTTGAAGAGATAACTCAGACTGGGGAGTATCGAGACTGGTCTGAATGCTCCCCAGTCTGGGGCATCTCCTGTTACAAAATCCCAAATCTCATGTTCACTATCATTTGATAATATATTTATAATTATACTAACTACTAATATCTTATTTACAATTACACTAACTAAAAAATATTTACAGTTCACACAACAAAATAAAGTTTTATCTGTTAACAGTTCTTGGAAACCATGTCAAAAGAACCCTGTCGTTCACAGTGTGCACCACTAACCTACACAAACTATTTACATAAACTATTTACAATTGGCACAACAAAATATAGTTTTGGCATTAACTTTCCTTGGCACATTTTCACAAGATCGGTGAAACCATTCGGCACAAGTTGCACATTCGATCATGAATGAACCACTATATGGCATTCTACAGTGACAAAACAGTTCGACAACTTCCTTCCTTTCATGTTGCATGGGTAAAACTGATGCATTGACAGGGAATTGGGCCAACTCTCCAACCTGGAAGCACATGGCAAGGTGCACTCGCATCGTCTTCTGGTCATAGGCTTGTGTACTAGGATCTTCTCCGATGAGAAGACTGAAAGCAACCGCAACAGCAAAAAGGCCACAATCAGAACAGCCTTTCTGATTCTGCATTGATGGCCACACAATTGTCATGTTCGGGTAACTGGTGTTTAGTAATGCTGCCAAACACAGGTAAAATTTCTTTCTGTCCTTTTCTGGCAACTCTATATACTTAGAGTCATATACTTTGACAACGTTATCTTCACATCCAATATTTGTGACAGTTACCCAATGTTTTCTTCCAACATTAATGATTTGAACAAACTCCTTTTGTCCTCTCTGAATTTTGGGGGTTTTCCCTTCAAAAGCCAGCACAGAATGCAAGCCGTTACTCCCTGCAAAGTGCTGCTGCAGTAACCATTGAGCATGATCAATATGCTCATCTGTAAGCCAAAAGTCTTTTTCGAGGACTGTAGATGATAGCTTTTCAGGATTAGGGTTAGCTTCACTTGTTAGCATTTCGCACCGATTCTTTCTCTTTCCCTTCCTAGACTTTCCATTATACTGGCTGACTTTGGCCACCTTTAAGGTTAAGTTTAGTTTTAAGGTTAAGTTTATTTTTATGGTTAATATGTTTATCCCGCCCCCACAGTTGCTCCCCTGGAAAGAGAGAGCCTCTATACTTACATGAGTTTTTTAAGGACTCAAGTACTCCATTAACTCCAGTGCTGTTGTGTTCATTTTTGTTGATATTATCTTCATTCTGGTTGTTATCATTTTCATTGTTGTCATCTTCCTTGTCATCTTCTTCCTTGTCATCTTCTTCATCTAAAGTATAGTTGTCAACTCATTAATATCTAAGTACCATTGAAATGACTTTACCCTCATTAATTAACATATAAGACTTTCCCTTGACAAGTAAAATTTTCAGGCATTAGACAGAGTGTAGATACTAAAGTAGTGCAGATACAGAATCTGTACTAAAACCACTAATTCTGTTTTGTGATTGGCACAGTTTAATCGAAGAATCCTCCTGTTGAACCAGAGCCTTCATGACATTTCGATTTATTATTTACTGAAGGCTCTGGAATCCAGGGTAGGTGTGTGGACTAGATACATTGCATGTTAAAACTAGAGGGCAGTCAGAGACTGCATACCTCTGCCCGTTACTCGGAAGTGAAACGCAACCTTGGAATTTCCTAAGAAATCCACTTTATAATTCTTAAGCATGAAAGATTTTAGGCCCCCGCAAATTGAAATCGAATTGCTAATAGATCATATTACTGTTGTTGTACTGAACAGTACTTGTAAAATAAAAACTTATTAAGTGTCATTAAATAAATGCATAAATTTTGCTTTATGCACTCGCACGTGCAGTAATTTTCACAGTTGTGCTATTTTAAATTCCCAGGCAGCTAAAATCTTTTGTCTTTAAAACAATGTCGATTTCTTGCGAAATTCCGAGGTTGCGTTTTTTTTTATACACCCTGTATTGAAGTAATCTAATTTGTTAGAATTTGAATGGACTGGCACTTTGCTGAACATAATAATGCGTAACTCCGTAAGCCTTGTTTTAGACATTGAATTTCGGTCGTGCGAAATGCAACTAAGACAATAGATAATGAAGGCCGAAGCTTAATGAGGTTTATCATCTCATTGTCTTCTTAGTACTGCGTGCATACATTATACACGTCTTAATTACGCATTCAGTGAGTTTTTTTTAATTGACCGGGAAAAGCAAGACAAAATTTTGTTCATTTCTCGTTCAATTTTTAACCAAATTCAACCACATTTTAATCAGTTCTTCCTTAGCTGATGGGAAATGCACTCAAAAAATTTCGTATGAATATGTTTGGTATTTCCTGAGTTATCGTGCTCACAGACAAACACACACACATACACACACACACACACACACATACATACACACATACAAACCCAGATGATTACATAACCTCCTGGCGGAGGTAATAATTTACATCATAAATGTTAATTAATCAACATGACAGGCATATTTAAAGTAATATGTAGATCAACAATTTGCAATAAATGAAAATAAACATTACTTTTATGTAGTTTGCTACCGTCATTGATGCTGTTGTCTGGGAGGTCGTCATCATTGTCGGTGTCATTATTTTCTTGTTTGCAATCATCCTCTGCACTGCCTGATCCTCTACCGCAGTTATTTTCCTTGTGAAGTTCACTCACCACATAAGGTCGTAACTGATCATAGGGCACTTTTTTTTTCAGAGAAGTGGCATTATCTTTCAATGGAATAAGGGTTGCTCTCTCAGAGGAATCAATTTCTGTGACTCTGTAAATATTAATTATTCAATGTTATTCTTCAATTGAGCATCAACATGATTCCATTATTCCTACCGGTATCAAAGCTTGAATGGTTTACCAATTATTTAATATCCATTTAACAACCAACACAGACGTAGAACACTGGGGGTTGAAGGGGGGGGGTCTTCTCACCATTAATTTTAAGATACCATGTTTATCAATATTGCTGTGGAGTAGTCTTAATGCTAAGCTACAGGAAGAACCTAAATGATTAGCTGCGAGAAGTAATTAACCAAGCCATTTATAATCAGCACAACCATCGATCTGAAAGATTTGCATGTCCTAGATCTGGTCATTAATGATCAATTGACGCTGAAGTCCAATTGAATCTGCTGAAAAATATTTGTTATACCTGTATGGACCTGTCCATCCTGGCTCCATTTTCCCTCCTTTTCTGGAAATGTTTTTCATTTGGCGTTTGTACACAATATCACCCACTTTGATAACAAATGTCTTTAGTCCTTTAGCTTTTCTTTTTTGGTACTGTTTCTTCTGTTTATCTTGAGCAATCTTGACATTCTTCTGAACCTAAAGGCATTTCAATACAATTAACAACCACAGTAGAACCCCGCTAACTCAAACTCCCAAGGAAATGAAAAATTTGTTAGCGGGGGTTTGAGTTAACAGAGTCGGTGTTGGATTTCATTTAATTATGTTACTAATGAATGGAGAGGCGAGTGGAAGTAGTTGATGAAGCAATAACTAACTTTAACATCTAGCAAAAACATTAATTTCTAACACAACATACCTGCTCTTGTGTCACTTCATATAAAGCCTTTCTTTCTGAAACTTGCTCATCTAAACTTTCTTCAGGTTGGTCAGGGGCAGAAGAACAGTCGTCTACAACATCCATCTTAACAATATAAACAGTTGATTTAATTAAATATTCCAGTTAATTAATTTAACTAAAATATTCCATATCATTACCATTTGAGGTGAATTTGGATGTCGACCAAACATCAGATAGAATGGTGTGTATTTGGTTGTGGCTTGTTTTTGCATACGTATGGAATATGCAACCTCTTCTAAGAAGTCGCACCAATTGTTTTGATGTTCATTGACCAGTTTGGACAAACGCTGCTTCAATGTCTGGTTTGTTCGTTCATCTAGGCCATTTGTCTGCGGGTGATAAGCACTGGTCACAGATCATTTGATGTCAAATTCCTTGCAAACCGCATCATTGATCTTGTTCACAAATTCTCTGCCTTGATCAGATAGTAGGCGTGAAGGGGCACCCCATCTAAAATCATTACAAAAATTATGTGAATGTGATGGACAATTTATTTCTGATTTTTAACCATTTAAACTTACTTTGCATTTAAACACACTATGTGGCCCTACTTCAACATTTTGATGCCTAATGCCAGACGATTTACTGGTCATTTCTCAAGGAAGGGGAGAGTTGTTAAGGCAGAACGATATATTTTTTTCAGTTATCTCCTGGCAATGGGTGTGTTGTCCAAAAGCGTGGGATTTTTATAAGTTTTAGATTTTTACAAGACAGTTTTTTTCAAAATGTTATAATATATATTGCTAGAGGAAACAGTTTTAAAATTGAATACTTGTCATGCCATAGAAATAGCTAATTCTGATGTAAACATATACCAGCTCCTCGAGTCAGGTTTTGTTTTATCCTGATTAAGCTTTCAATTTTTTATAAACATGATTATACAAATCTGTATTATGTATGATAATTATATGTGGTGCAATAGCTTCCTAATTTGATATTAAAATCAGCTGGTATATGTTTACCAATTTATAATATTGTTGTAAATAATGATATTAGATGTAAACAAAATTCAAGAAGGAGAGTGCCTCGCATGGGTCTTGAGTCCCGTTCGCACTCTTGCCGTTTGAACATCGTTCAATAAAGCTGTTAAAACTAATTACCTGCATGTAAACGTTTTGATACATTTTGCAACACACTCTGCCGATTTATTTTTGATTGGATAAAAATCGACAAATTTGGTGTAGTAATCGATAAATGTGCAAACATACTTCCATCCTTCTGGAGTAGTTGGCAATGGCCTTAGAAAAAAATAAGGTCAAAATATGTTAACACATGACTTGCCTGTATAAACATATTTATTTTTCATTAGTGTTTGCCCAAGAGCATGAAGCTTATCTACGGTGTTCACACTACATATTTTTAGAGATACCAGTCATTGCCAAAAATTTGTGCAGCACTTGAGAGTAAATTTTGTCTAAGAGCAGCATATCGGGGACATTTTAACAAATAGTGAGCAACTGATTCATGATCCTCATCACAAGCACATAGTGAAGACAGTTTACATTTAACTTCAAACAATAATAATTTAAGCCACAACAACCTAAACGAGTATGTATTATCAATGAAAACCTATCAATGGTAAAATCTTATAATTTATTGTAGTTTTCAATGTTAAAGTATTGAAGAAACAAACTTGTTTGACTACTCATTCAGAGTTTCAGCTCTAAGTTTATTCAAATAATAAAGTTAACTTGATAACTTACCAATCAAATCAATTCCAACTAACTCCAAGGGCTGCTTAACTTTTATTGGAATTAGTTCAGGTGCCTGAGTTTTTATTTTGCCGGAAACTTGGCAGTGATGGCAGGACATTACCTATATAATAATAGTGTTTGTCAACAATACAGTAACGGGTTTTTTATTAACGGTTATTTATTTTCTATAAAACTTTTTACAATTTACTACTATGTAAACTTATGTATTCTTGTACATCTTCTTTCATGCCATTCCAGCAATAAAAGTTTGAAATTTTACAAAGTGTGGCATTCACTCCACTGTGCCCTCCCATTGGATTACTGTGGTGATGATGCAGTATTTCTCGTACTTCTGCAACATCAAGGATAACTTTTCTATAAATCCCTTCTTTTCCTCCTGTGTAGTACAACTCGTTATCTAAGAATAATTGAAATTAAAATAATTCACATCATAAATATATTAATTTGAGGGGAGGAATTTGATACAGTCGGTCATACTAATTACCAACAACAACCAACAACTATTGTCAACAACCAACAATTACCAACAACTAGCAGACAATTACCGACAACATTGTTGAGTTAAAACATTCTGCGATTAAAGATGATGGGTTCGCATAGGCAGACAGTAATTATATTTTCATTGTTTGACATCAATAAAATCATAAACAATAGGATTAACAAAACATCCTGCCCAAGGATAAATGTATTCATAATAGAATTCTAATTATGCAAACTATCTAAAAACTGCATAGTATACTGATGAGTCATCGATACCATATAAAAGTAAAAAACATGTATTTGCTTGTTGTTGGTATTTTTCAGCTTGTTGTCAGTATTTTTCAGCTTGTTGTCGGTAATTAGTATGACCCGATACAATTAATATTTCCAAAGAAATAGCTGTGCATAATTTTTGACAACACATGATTACATAAATGAATACATCAAGAGCTTTGTAATTCCAGATATAAATAACAGATATTTAGTATATAGAGTTCACTAAGAGGAAGTTGTGGCTTGTGTATTCTTACACCCCTGTCAAGGCATATCAAGGACAGCTGGATCTTTTGAGTACAGTATTATTGACCTCGTTATTGACCTGGAATTCCTCAGGATAAATAGTTTTTATTCAGAAACCCCTGGAATTTAATACCCCTGGAGTAAGGGACCATGGAACATGGAATTACTCAATGAGATTTAATAGTAAGGTTTACAGTTCTAAACTTTTGAGAATAGAATTCCTCAGCCTCAAGGGAATCACAAACTATGTCTATGCCCTGTGGCTATGCATGACAAACATGTTTCGTCGCCCTTTACATTAAATAAGCATAGTATGAAGTTCAATTGTTTGCAATAAGTATAACGAGAAAAATAAACTCACTTTCATCTAGGGTATAGTTCTTCGCTTGACCTCAAACAACACGTTGTTGATTCTTGGTTAAACCATCCATGTGTTTTCCATGGCGAAGATAATACAATATGCGTTTGCATTTCTCGCGTTGCTGATCAAAGCGTCTCTCGCGTTTTCACATCAGTCTCGGCTTCTAAGTTTTCCTCAACAATGACCTCTTGTTCTGTTGCCATTTTAGCGTAGTAAACACTTGGATAAAGTGAATTTGAAACGAGTATTCTCTGTAGATTTGCAAGTGCCAACGATTGAAGTGAGAGAGGATGACTCAGACCGCAGGGAAATTATATGAGCCGATACCGCTGACGCGCGCATGCGCATAGTAATAGAGGAATACTCAGACCGGGGGAGTATCGAGACTGCCACACCGGGACCAATCTGAACGCGAGTAATGTTGTCCCGGGACAGTGAGTTGCCTCGGGTCAGAAAGTTATCCTGGGTAAATGTGAACAGGGTCTTAGCGAGTCCTAAGAAAGCAGACATAAGATGAATGCTGAAATTTATGCCTGCCCGTGACAGAGTGTTTATGTCACTTCTTGTGTAAAAGTAATTAATATTTCTTTTAGATATAGGAAAGTCGCGACAGTAATGCTGTTAATAACAGCACTAAAATATTATATTTTAAGCTGCTCTACAGATTGCGTTTTTCTCACAAGAATACCATTGTTGCCAGTCAAAATAGTTTGCTTCAACGACTCGAATAATTCCATTGGCATATTTCTCACAATTTGTATATTCCGTGATAGTCTTTCAAAATGGTTTCGAAACTCCGCTAAAGTCTTTGTTCTATCTTTTTGTTCGTGTTTATGCAGTTTTGTGCATGGTCAATAAACACATATTTCAGTATAATGAATGAATCATCCAGTAGCAATGTTTCAGTTCAGTCATTCAATCATGCTAAATATCAATAAACCTAAAACAAAGGATGTGCACAGTGTAAGGGTATGGCTGACAAACTCCTAGCTCATTATAACCACTTTGAAGTTTACTGAGTTTCCAGACCATGTCTCGATAGACTATGATTTCATAGATGAGATAAAGCAGTAGAAGGCTTAATTATTCTGAGAAAAATTTTGATCATGTGATGCATTGGATAAAGTTGAAAGCATTGGATAAAGTTCAGCAACGCCATAAATTTATATTTTTTGCCACTTATCTGGAACATTCAAGAATTTCAGATCCAATTTTCCATGCAATTTCTTTGTCCTTACCTCTTTTAATTAATGTAATCTTCAACTGCTTCGTGTAGAGACAGACGGCACCTTTAAAACAGTTACAGCTGACTAAAATTGGCTGCTAGCATGGCCTAGACTTGTTTGCCATATGGCCAAATTTTTGCCTTTACAGCCGGCTGTGGGTGTCAGAGAACAAGATCTGTCAAATCCTGTTGAAGTGCTATGATTCATTCAAGAACAAATTGCATCTGATAGAATTCCCTTACGAAAAAATCCTATAGGAATTCCTATTAGATTTTGGCCCAATTTCCTATAGGAAATTGGTCCAAAATCTAATAGGAATTCCTATAGGAATAGGAATTCCTTAGATTTACATAGAAATTCATATTGGATCATATAGAAATTCTTGCATAATCCTCTAAATCAAACTGCCTAAAAGAGTTATTTACCAAGGTGAAGGAAAAAGAGAAACTAGTGAAAAAAATGTATTACAGATAAAAATGTGGCAAATATAACAGGCTATATTTACATATAACATACTAATTTAGGCTATTTATCTTTTTAACTTATGACATTTTTCATTGTTCTCAGTTTAAGAAATGTTTCTTATATTTTCTTATTTTTAGAAAATTTTTAGACATAAAATTGTACTATATTATATTACCTATATTATGTATTTAAAAAATAGAAAATTCTGTATGCACTACATAAGTTTTATTTTCTGTCATTCTTATACATGACTATGTTTAGTTCTGATTGCACAGTAATGTGTTGTGGCGAATAGAGTTTCTCGCAAAGCTGTATTATAACACTTTCCACTTCACAATCAATATTATGATCTAACAAACCATTTGTTCAAGTCCATTGATTTCTTCATTTACATTTAATACTGCCACCAGAGATCCATCATATTGGAATCTGTAAAAGGAAAACATTATTTATTTGAAAATATAATCATAATTAGTAAATTCAGGGCGCAAAATAACGGCCGGTCAACGGACAATGTCCAGCCAGAATGCGGAGTTGTCTGGTCAAATTCTTACCTTGCCGGTCATTTTGACTGCTCACTTGACTCACTTTCGGTAAAAGAACAAACTAATCTTCACTTTAATTAATAATCAAAATAAAGTAACATGTTGTCGAATATTTCACCACGTTAATCTCTTGAAGAAATTATGGGTGAAACTTAAATGATATAATTGTTGATACAGACCACATTCTTGAGTCAACATTCAGTGAACTTAAATATATAAACAACTTTAGATTAACATTCAAAGTAGACATCATGGGAGAGGAATCTGTTGACCTTGGTGGGCATGAAGGAATGGATCAGGCCTATGAACCATGCATGCTATTAAAGAAAGACTTTGAACATATTGTTTGAGACCATTGTTATCATCAGATTACTATTTTGTTGGAGCATAGTTACTAAAACAAGGAATGACCTAAAACCATCTAAAACAACGTAAAACCATCTAAAACAATCTACACGACCAGTAAAACGATCTACAATGACCAGTAAAACGACCTAAAACCGATCTAAAACGACCTAAAACTATCTAAAACGATCTACAGCGACCAAGAAAGCAATCTAAAATGGTAAAACACACATGGTAAAACTAACAAGAAAATTGTGAAATGGATTTAATTGTCACCTGTTAACTCTTAGTTGTGTTGCATTTAAGGTGGCTCCATACAGTTTCTTGAAAAGTAGAAAACACACATTTCTGATCCAAAATCTTAGTGTTCATTGATATTTTGTTAGAGGAATGAAACTAAATGGAACAGCATTTTGATTTTTGAGAGTAGGAAACTGCAACAAAAAATGTGTAACCATGGTTGCTATGGCAACAATGACGTTTCAAAATGCCTGCTAATTTGTATTAAAATTAATTTACTTGAAAAATGTTGGATCTACAGAATTTTTTAAAAATTGTCCTGATGATTGCTCATACTGGGAAAAAAATGATAAAATGATAAAATAAAAGTTGGGGGTCACAGATGTTGTTTAAATGCAAATTAGCAACCATTTTTTGAAATGCCATTGTTGCCATAGGGACCACAATTACGGACATTTCCATTTATACAGTTTCTGATTCTCTCAAAATACTGTTGTATACATGACATCTGGTTTCATTCTTCTATAAAAATATTATGTACAAAATTTTTTGGTCTGAAATGTGTCTTTTCCACTTTTCAAGAAACTGTATGCCTGTATGGAGCCACCTTAAATTGATTTAATTAAGTTGTTTTGGTAAGGTATTAGCCTGCGTACCAAGATATAGTTCTATGACTATGGGTATATGACTTTAACATTATAACATTTTTGCTATTGGGTGGTTTCACGAGCTGTTGATATGCAGATTGTTTTAGGTAGCTTCATAATATTGTTTTATCAGTCATTGTAGATAGTTTCGGTCATTTTAGATCGTTTTAGATCATTTCACTGGTTGTTGTAGATCGTTTTAGATGGTTTTAGGTCGTTTTAGATGGTTTTAGATCGTTTCACTGGTTGTTTTAGGTCGTTTTAGATGGTTTTAGGTTGTTTTAGGCGATTCCTTGTTTTAGTAACTACGTTTGTTGGAGTTATGATTGCAGTTGCCATGCTTCAAAATGGACAGCTGCCTGTGTTTCTCAGTGATGCAATTCTGAGTGACCTTCTGTCATCCAGAAATTGCTCAAATTTTTGCATTTACCAAATCCAACATGGCCCGGAGAAGTTGGAATGCTATCAGTTCTGATGCAACTACCAATACTGGTTTACCTGTTGTGACCTGGAGTCCAACCAAGAGTGAATGTATACAGGGTGTATCGAAAAAAGTAAGACAATTTTGAAATTGCTCTCAATTCCACAATTCTGTTCATGAAATGTAATTTTTGCTATATATGGATTGCTTGAGTTCTTAAATTGTGGAAAATATAAAAAATTTTGAAAGTAGTAAATTTTGCTATTGAGGGGGGTGGTCAGCTTTTGCTCCCCTAAAAGTGGCTTGCGCACGGAAATGACAAACGGTATTCTTTATTTGAGTTCATGTATGAAAAGTTCGCTATTTGTTGCATTTATGATAACATTTCGGCAGGATTTTACCGAGTACAAATCCACCGAAAAGCCTATGAAAACGTTACATTTTTCTCCGTTGGTGCTGTTCTTGCTTCATTATGAATTCATTTTTACTCCCATGAGAGTTCCATGGAATTTCCATGGAATTTGTGCTTTCGAGTTGTTTGTGCTGAAACGCATTTTCTCGTATAATACCCTGTACACTTTGAAATGGTGACCAATCCGGACCAATGAGGATTTTGTACTCGGTAAAATCCTGCCGAAATTTTATCATAAATGCAACAAATAGCGAACTTTTCATACATGAACTCAAATAAAGAATACCGTTTGTCATTTCCGTGCGCAAGCCACTTTTAGGAGAGCAAAAGTTGACCACCCCCTGGATAGCAAAATTTACTATTTTCAAATTTTTTTATATTTTCCATAATTTAAGAACTCAAGCAATCCATACATATAAAAAATTACATTTCATGAACAGTATTGTGGAATTGAGAGCAATTTCAAAATTGTCTTACTTTTTTTTATACACCCTGTAGAAATTGTTGCAGATTCTAAAGCCAAAGTTTTCTGCTGAGGGGTCTAATGCACTAACTTGGGAAAAAGAGACTTATCAAATGTTTATTAGATATGTCAGGGAGTCTGGTGCCTCCACAAAAGTTTGTGGGCAGCTGACCTTGAGTCATACTCTTCAGTTTGTCACATGTGCATCTGAAGATCTGTGCTTGGATTTTTTCGCTCCCTCCCCTTCTTGAAGTTCATCTTACCAATGGAAATGGCAGTGACAGCAGAGTTGCAAAAACGCTGCGGGCATGCAGGCATTAGAGAGTTTGGCAAATACAAGGGCAACGGCAATATGGCCATCAACAATAGCATTAATCCTCAAAGACAAAGGCAAATGTAAATTACATGGTCTTAAGCGTTGTGCAATGCGGTAGTTGTTGAAACTAGTACGTGATTTGCATCATTTTCACGGTGCATGACCACGGCAACGGTTAATTCGTTCGATGTTATTTGAGGTGTTTTATTTGAATTCGCGGACTATTTTTACTTAAGGGTACGTTTGAAAGAAACAGGAATACTTAAAGAGGCAAATTAAGTGTAGTAACGTATACTTTGGCTCAAATACAACAATATAAGCAATTATATTTTTTTCGTTGCCGTTATCGTTGCCGTTCTAGGTTGCCAAACTCTCTATTACCCGCGAGGAAGGTTTATCATAGGTAAGATCATTGAGGAAGGTTTGGTGGTCAAACAGTTGCTAACACCGCAAAATGAAATAAATAAATCATAGTTGAATAGGCAGTTCAGGCTGACAAGTTGTGGTGGTACTATTGTGATATAGTACCTATAACATATGACTATGACATTGACATATGACTATGACAAGTGTCAAGCATCAGAGACGCCTTAAACCATTGCACCGCAAATAACACGAGGCTATTACTAAGAGCTATTCATCATGGTTACAATAAGAAATTCACCTTGAACATTATTATATTATTGAAAGATTATTTGATTACATGATTCTAATGTTTTTACAGAATAATTAATAGTTATAAATTAAATGAACCATCATTGCTGTAGCAAATAAACATTGTAATAATTATAAAAATGGCGAAGTTGAAATTTTTTAAACTGCCACAAAAATTATAAATAAAGCTGAGGAAGAAATAATTAACAATTATTGAATGAGGTTGAGCACAATATCGGTTATCATTCCATGTTTCGCGCACCAATATAGGTTAGGGTTAGGGGTTAGGTATTAGGGGTTAGGTTAGGGTTAGATTTAAGGTAAGGTTGGGGTTAGGTGTGTATATATGTGTATGGAGGTATCTAGTGAACTTTTCAATACACTATAATATCCATTACATAACGTTTACTATATTGGTGCGCGAAACATGGAACGATTACCACAATATCAAGCCCGAAGTTTGCCGTTATCAACTGAAGCCGAAGGCTGAGGGCTTGGTAATTCTTCATATTGTGCGAAAACCGAATTAAATAATTGTTTTATTATTTCTTTAAAAAATTCAAAACAAACGGTCATCTATTTGTTTGCCCAAGACACGTTATAAATCAGGAAAAGAATTGGGAAACTGAGTATTCTTACCTATTCTAGAAGCTTTTGTTGATATTTTTGTATTTAACGAATCTTTATCTTCCAGTAATTTTTGAATTTCGGCTTCGTCAAGGTTTGCAAACCTTTCAGTGGAAGAAGCCATTTGTATTTTATTTGTATTAAGACTGAAAAAACAATTCCTTAGTCCTTCGGCAGCCGTCATCGTCATATCAATGGCGTCAGCGAGTCAATATGATTCTCGTTGTCATAGTAATATGGTGCAAATGCGTCCAAATTTTTTTCATATTGACTCTGATGTCATTTAGCTATTACGAATGTGAAAAATCCGTATTTGGTTAGCCATTGAGTTGATATGACAATTTCACAGTTCGCTGTTAGCCAATCAGAAACCAGGAATTTTTTAAATAAATAATAATACGGGTTGCTTACTGAGGTGTGTAGCTATTATACATATCAACAAAATGTATTGAGGTCCTATAATCGAAATCATTGTTTACATAACTGATACCTACACTGTCAATTCCCACAAACTGTTAGATAACCATAAGTATATGGCAGGATTGGCAGCATCTGTTATAGAGATTATATTGCCATTGCCAATAATTTTCAACAGCTAAAATTATTAAACCTTAATCAAATAAACTATTTATCTATTAGCCTTTTCATGTTTGATCGCATAAATGGAAACCTACCAGCTTCATTTAATGATTATTTTACCACAAATACTAAAATACACCATCATGACACCAGAAAGTCCAATTATATTCACAAAAAATATTTCAGAACAAATTAAATTACAGGAAATTCTCAATTAAAACGGATTAAATTTACACTAAAAGGAACAGATTTATGGAATAAAATTCCATCACAAATAAAAGATTTTTCTTCAAAAATACCCTTTAAACGTGCAGTAAAAAAATATATATTATCTAAAAACCAATAATATCAATATAGCCTAAAATAAGATTTATTATATTTTAACTTTTTGCATCATATACATATAATATATATTATAATTAATTCAATGTAAATATTTGTTAGTTCATAGCTTGATTACCTGATAATTCTTTAAATATTATAAATGTATCAATATAATACTAGGGGAACTACTTGTAAAAGCCCTTTTGGGTTTATTTTGTTCTCCATCCAAAATATTATAAATGTATCAATATAATACTAGGGGAACTACTTGCAAAAGCCCTTTTGGGTTTATTTTGTTCTCTGTCCAAACATGTTTTATAATTGTACGGTATATATCTATCAAGTTCAAACTATTGTAACATATTTGGAAAATTAAATTGAATTGAAAAATTGAAAAAAAAAATTTGCCAGACTTTTATAATGATTACTTAAAACAAAATAACGATGTACACAACTATAATATGCGAAATTCTACCAAGTTACATTTGAGTTATAAAAGAACAAACTACCATATATATACTGTATTTAACAAAGGAATTTCTTTATGGAATTTTCGGTTGATAACATATTGTTTCCCTCTTGCGCTGTTGTGAGGTTGACAGACTAATTTCATCACTCTCATGTGATATGCTCTCAACCAATAAAACGCTAGGAAAATGTGACTTTGACTATTGATATATAATAATAATAATTAATTCTTGAAAAAACAAGTATGATCGTACTATAGTGGACCAGGAACTGGGTGACTGAGTTCCGATCTTGTGCAAATCGTTAAATGTTCAAAACGTTGACATGATAAACAAAAAATGAATAATCTTAATTACTGCTAGTCATGCTTCATAACTGCATGCTTGAGCTAAAAACAAATTGAGATGTCTTTGTCTTTACGGCTCGCGATTTTCTATCATTATGAATATTATTGCTTTGCGCTTTAAGTGAAAATATAGTGGATATACTGTACAGTATACTGTAGGCCTATAGTAGGTATTTAAATTATCACAGAAAATCTTGTTTTCCCACTGGCATGCATAATTAAGCATAATTACTTGACATTACTGGGAGCATTGAAGAAACTTGCTTCAAGTCATTGTGAAAATCACTCTCTCTTTGCAGAAGCTATACTTTAAATTCCTAGGCCAGTAGAAAATCTTGTTCTTAACAAGAATGGAACTTTCGTGTTCTCAAAATACCTGTTATGCCGGCTTTTTACTTGCGAATTTTTGTCTTCGGTCTCAACTGAAACCATGTGGAACTAATTGGATAGAGACAAAAGAAAAATTCGCTTCGCGTGAAAAACTTTGCAAGTGGAAAACCGGCTTAAAGGTCCAGACACATTTCGACAATGCGACGCGATCTTTTAGTTTTTGAAAGTTAATAAAATAGCCAATGAGAGCAAATTTTAAAAGACATGCACACCAAAAAATCAAATATTTGGAAAGTTTAAACTAGGATCAAAGTTATCGGTCAGTGAAAATCGAAGAATCGCGTCCGGTGTGCAGTCTGGACCTTAAGGCTGTATTTTGCGCTTGCATGGATTAAGCATTGCGCTAAGGCATTCAAATTATGACAATAGGATAATTTCAAAAGGTATACATATTTTGAGATGCTCTTACGGTATTGTTTTTAAAATAAAACGAAAAACTATACCGCTCACCTATCTATACAGATGATATCGATAATTGTTTGTGTTTGTAACCCAAAACTCTCTCTCTCTATATATAGTATATATTACACGCAAAAATTATGCACGCAAAAATTAGCTGGGCACGGATTTAGTTTTCTTTTGAACTGGCATCTGCCTCGAGGGATTTAGTAGCAATGCCAATGTCCTCCAAATCCTCGGGGGAATCTTTGAAAACGTCTTCTAATAAGCTGTTCGACTGGTTTAACTCTTGCTCCAGCTTCCGTTTTTGTTCCCTAGTTGTGCGAAGTTCTTCGGACAGTTTAATGTTATTTTCTTTTTCTGCCTTTAGTTGTTTCTCTAGTATTTCTAGTTTAACTTTAATAGACATGCATCGAGCCTTACATTGTTTTGCAACCTTCTCGATATCTGCCTGTCCGGCATCCTTATTCCCTCTGTTCATTTTGTGCAGGCCTCCTAAAAGCTGAAGCTCTATTGTTTCCAACATTTCGACCTCACGTTTGATGTCTTGCATTTTTATTAGTTTTGGTGTATCTTGCAAGGTAAGAATCAGCAACAGGTGTGATAAAGATCAGAACACCTAAACCTTACCCATATATATAGCCGTATAAAAATTGATTAAAACCGGTTTATACCATTAGCGAATGCCTTCATGCGAAAACTCTATTGTACCCTATTGGTAAAACTATGTCAAACCGGTTTGGGAAATAAACACATTATCAGTATGTTTATTTCCCAAACCGGTTTGACTACGCCCTCGGGACTTTTACTAAACCTCCCTCGGTTTCCAGGGTCATTTAATCAACTAACTTCCCTCAAAAGCATGTGTTTACTTATAAAAACATTATTGTATAGCAAGCATTTGTTTTGGTAAATGTTGCCATTTGATTGGTAAATTTGTGGTCCAAGGTTTACTGAAATGACTTCAACTGTCTTTTGAATGCCCTACAAAATGCCCTGTAAGACACTAGACTTTTTAAAAAAATGTAAAATATCGTAAAAATGAGCGACGACGAACATTCAGAGAGCGAATTTTACTAACCTGCATGAGGATTTTCAGTTGAATTTAAAGAGCGAGCAATTTAAGTTTGCAAAATGAGGAAATATATGACGATGGAAGTGAACCAAGTGATATTTTAAATTTAGAAACAAAAATTTCAAATTACCAGATAATAACTATACTTCTTAACCTAGCTCACCCGCTTGGTCATTACGGTAAAATATTAAACCTCAGTGTTGTTGCATTGACCTCGCTATCGCTCGGGCAATACGGCAAGACCTCGGTTTAATATTTGACCGTAAAGACCTCGCTCTCGGTTAATAAGTACTTAATATTGAAAGAAACAAAGTGATGTTGCTTTCTGCAGGTATAACCATGTGGATATAAAAATAGCTACCAAATTTTTTTAAAAACAAACGTCGCCTATCTGTCGGCTAATAAAAAATATTAATGAGTTTCCGACAATTTGCTTATTATTTTTTGAATTTTAATTAGAGTCTTTTGTCTGGAACACCAACATGGCCGCCATGCATGCTTTTGTCGAGTTGGTCTCTGGGGAATGGGTTCAAACACTCTACTGCATACGGTGCTGTGTTCATTTTAGCCTAAAAAATGCTGCACAAGACCGCTTATATTATAATAAGAGGTCTTTGTGACTCATAATTATTTCAGTTGTCAACTCTACAATTATGCATGTTCATTTCTATTTCATAAGAAACGTTATTTTAAAAGCTAATTCAAGTTCTTTGCGTTTTGTCTCAGAAGATGTACAATCCTGGCCAAAAACTTTGTGGACAGTACAAAATTGTAGCAAATTATATAATACATTTAGATATATTGCATAATATCTGTCAAACCCCCACACCCCCATCTCCATGTTGCAGTCCAATATGATATATACAGAGTTGCCGATGCGAAAACGATTTCATCATTGTTTTGGGGGAGTGGGGGCGTAAGTTATAGCATTAAATCCATCCTAAACGCATATGAGCCTACCTGTCCACATGATTTTGGCCAGGATTGTCTGAAAATTATGTGTTCTTAAAAATTGCTAATTTTTACGTAAAAACGGCTGAAAATGCGAGAACTTTTGTTATCATGATATTATTTAGGATATTTGTGATAAATTAATAAGTTTTATGTACAATTTGATTTATTTTATTGTACAGTAGGTATAACAGAGGATATAAATATTAATTTACTTGTGTTACAGGATTTCAGGAGGTATAACGTACAGAAGCACAATCACGTGGAATGCGTGTGATTATATTTATAAATAACTCTATATCCGGTTATGACTTAATTTTAGTATTTGTAACAAAATACTATTAATATTGCAATATGGCTGCGGTAGATACAGGAAGCAGTCTCCGTAGTTCAGCAGTAAGAAGCGTATACTTAGTAACTTATAGTCCAGCTGATTTGAGCAAATTTCCGAACCGAAGAGATTTTGCTGAAGCACTCGTTACTTCGTTTGAGAAAGGTTCTGCTAAAGTGAAGCACTGGTGTTGTAGCAGAGAAAACCACGCGGATGGCGCTAAACATTATCACATGGTGTTGAAATTGCATAAGTCACAAAGATGGCTGCAATCCAAGAGGTTTCTCGAGGAAAATTTTGCCATAGAGGTAAATTATTCGAGTAATCATCATAACTACTACAGTGCTTGGCGATACGTCACAAAGGAGGACAGTAGCTATGAAGAAAGTGAATCACACCCAGATCCTAATAGCTATAAAGGACCGAAGACCACCAACGCGAGCATGGCCAAAATACAAACTGGTCAAAAATGCAGTGCCGCAGTGCAGGGGAGAGGAAATGTATGTAGAGCAAAGAAGCGATCTAAAAAAGAAAAGCAAAAGCGTTTGACCGCATTTGACGTCTCTGAGGTCATTCGTAAAAGAAGTATTAAAACAATGACAGAGTTACATGCATATGCTCAGGAACAAAGAGAGGAGGGAAAGACAGACTTAGTTCAGTTCATCTTGTGCAAACCACCCAAAGCAATTCAGGACTTGCTAGACACTACTTGGCACATGAAAACTGCCAAGGAAGTATTAGAACGATGTAAGAAAAGTCAAATGGAATTGTTTAACGAGGCGTCAAAGCAAGATTACCGAGCAGGATGAAACGGTGTTTGGCTTCAGTGTGCAAAACAGATTCTCGAGAATAATGGAATCGATAAGAGGAAATTTGCGGTTATTGACCTTTTAAAAAAAGGATGTGGAAAGCATCGCAATCTCATGATCGTTGGTCCAGCCAACTGTAGTAAAACGTTTATTTTAAAGCCATTGACTCAACTTTATAAAACGTTTTTAAATCCCGCTTCGGGATCGTTTGCATGGGTTGGCGTGCAAGAAGCGGAGTGCATTTTTTAAAATGATTTTCGGTGGAGCCCCACGTTGATACCATGGCACGATCTGTTGTTAATGTTAGAAGGGGAGTTGGTTCATTTGCCCGTGCCTAAAACACATTTCGTTCAAGACATCGAGCTGGTCAAAGATACGCCGATATTTTCCACCAGCAAGAGGCCATTAATCTTTATCAAAAATGGCACTGTGGATGATCAGGAATCAGAAATGATGGCCGTACGCTGGAATATTGTATCATTCAAATTCCACAAGATCAGCAACGGATAATACCACCTTGTGTTCGCTGTTTTACGGACCTTTTATCAGCAACTGAATCAAGCCTCAGTTAAACATGTAGACTGGTATCATATTTCATTATGTTATGAAGCCATATGCTATAAATGCATACCATGCTCTACAGTCACGGTCTACAGTCAGTTGAAGTGCTTTTCAATGTTTTTTTTCACACTGGAAAAAAAAGTATTTAAACTAATTTATTGTTCAATGTGTTAACCTGATTAAAGTCTTATGGTTAATGTAATACACAGTTTGGGAAAGGGCGTATATCTCAAATCACCACAGTCTACACATAAAATGTGCTATTCTTGAATATTAATGAGATCTTGATAAATTGTTATTAAGGCTAATCTATTTGTGTGTAGACCGTCGTAAAATTTTC